GCCGTGTGGTGTGTTGCAGTCTGATCCAGGGCGGCCGTGTGGTGTGTTGCAGTCCGATCCAGGGCGGCTCTGTGGCGTTGCAGTCTGATCCAGGGCGGCCGTGTGGTGTGTTGCAGTCTGATCCAGGGCGGCTCTGTGGCGTTGCAGTCTGATCCAGGGCGGCCGTGTGGAGTGTTGCAGTCTGATCCAGAGCGGCCGTGTGGTGTGTTGCAGTCTGACCCAGGGCGGCCGTGTGGTGCGTTTTGGTGTGATCTAGGGCGACCGTGTGGTGTGTTGTAGTCTACCCCTGAGCGGCCATGTGGTGTGCTTCAGTCTGACCTAGGGCGACCGTGTGGTGTGTTGCAGCCTGCAGGCGGTACTGCTGGCGCTGGTGGCCACCCTGTCCTGGGGCGGGCCCTTCCGCAGAGGTCCCGCCGCCGGCGCCATCCTGCCCGACCGTCATCACGTGACCGAGCACCTGGAGGGCACCATGGACCAGCAGAGCGTCCAAAACATCAGCGACGATGAGCTGAGGTGAGGGGTACGGCAGGACGGCCTGGGCTCAGATGGAGGGGTCGCGTATGTACATACATACATACGTCTGTGTCCAGTGCACCAGCTGGAACTAAGGAGTACCCGCGCTGCTAACACCTGGGAGGTATCCATCTCCGTACCGTAAGCCGGGGACAGGTACTGTAACTGCAGTGCGACACTGCAATGGCATCCGCAGGGCTTACTATGCTTTATCACCGCGGAAATCTATGGTGGGGGTTTTCGTGGCCTGGATTGCTAGCACCTTTTGGCTTATAGAGATGTTCAGCGTACCTTCTTTTGCGAATCATGCGTTGTTTGTGTTAACTTGTATGACTTACGACTATGACATTTCAGCCCGATGCGCATACATTTGTACAACTCGTTTGAATGGAATGACCCATCAAAATTGATGTTATGGTATTGTTGTATAGCTGTAGTTCTGATTCCAAGCAGCACTTCCTTCACCGCAGCAAAGCCCCAACGACTGGCTTACTGACACTTCCGCGCATTGGCTTCGGTGGTAAGATTACGAACTTAATTGTTGTCACAATGAAAGCATCGCCAGGTAATTCTGAGGTCCACCGCACTTCTGTCAACGCAAACATATTGCAGAATCATCATAGTATGACGAAAAGAACTGCTGGAAAGTATTGTATGAAGCAGGAGAGTACGTCGTGTCCTGCATATTTCGATGGTATCGTTCAGGAAGCCCGATGCCTTCAAAACATTGAAAATCCTTAAGTTGTTAAGTGCATTTGCGAGGAACACTTTGCACATAGATAAGGCAGTAGCAATAGCCTTATGCCTGGTAGAAAGGCCAGGAGAATGGAGATATAGATGCCTTGATATTTCGGCGACATGCCTTTGTCGGAACGAATAGCATAAATAACTTTAAAATTCCCTGCCGATGAACCTTCTCGATTTTTCAGGTCTTCTAATACATTCTTCAGCTTTTTTATTTTACAAAAAACTGAAAAATGGGGTAGGATCATCGATAGACAATTTCAAATTCCTTCTGCTGTTCATTTCGATAAAGGGCATGTTGCCGAAATATCGACTCATCGATATCTCTATTCTCCTGGTTTTTCCTAAAGGAATAAGGTTAATACTATTTTAAAATCCTATAGCATTCAATGAAACAGCTATGAACGATGACTGCAGTTTAAAATAGCCACGCTGATTTGAGTCCCTACAATGCTGAGTAGGTCGGCGTCTTCATCAATTGATTTGCTTCTGTATATCACGTTTAGATTGGTGAAAGCGGTACATCAGAGACCGCCCCTCACTCTGAACATATTTTGTATTCTAAAAATTGTTCTGCAACTTGTTCATTTGGTACCGCGCACTCAGGACTGCGATCTGTACCAAAGTTGAGGACGACTTTTTTCGTGATTGCACCAGTGCAGCTTCTCAATATAGTAGACCAGTTTAATTTATTGTTCGCATGAGACGAGCGACGTGGTAAAAGGCGTGATTTTAATAATGTGTGGTGATCCAGATTATGTTGAAAGTTAAACTAATAAAAACAGAATTGGGGGCACGGAAAAACCATCTTAATTCGCCCATCATTCAATTGGATTCACACATTTGGAAGTTGGTAAATTATAAAGACAGAAAGACATAAAGGCATCTGGCCGACAAAGACCAGCAGGGGCCCATCGAGGTTGGTCTACCTCAGATTGTGTACGCATCCTCGAAACTAATTGTACCCCCTGACCTTCATAAACTTAGCTATAACTGAGATCTTTAGACCGATGGAGCTTGTCCAAACGGTTCTTAAATGTTGCTAGAGAGAAACTTCCTGCAACTTCTAACATCGCATAATGCATTAGGTCGCGAAAGCTCACAAAAAGCGCAAGCAAAACAATTTTTGAATTAGTTCCCTTGCTGCCTAGCTCCATGGGGCTCAAGGTGGTAATTCCCTCTATATGTTTTAAGCAGTTTCCGTCATGACGGTAGATGCTTTCCCCAGGTTAAAAGGCGCTGCATCACTGCCCTGGGATTGCGCCTTTGACATCGCTGGAAAATAGACTGGACACGGGTCCACATGAACCTCACAATTTCTGTCGATAATTGCTGGATTTATACATATCTGCAACTTTTGTCACTGCTACTAAGTTATCGCAAGCAGTGCAGAAACTTTTGGTGGGCATTATTTGCAGTGAGCTGTACCATGCGATTTTAAAAGTTCGTGGCCATATCGCCTCATTTTCCCTCGGCCACAGGCCCAGAAATTGATGTGCTCAAAACTGATTTGCAAGGGTGATATTTTCCACTCCCCGGTCGATCTCTCGCACGCCTTTGGGTCGGAAAGTGCTGAGATGTGTGGTGATCCCTAGACGGTTTATCAGCCCACACTATGAAGTCAATTTCACATCTTTGGCCGCACTCAATGCTGAGACCTGACGTGAAAACTGAAACACCAACGAACGGACCCGAGGCAAGTTCTCGTGCACACGCGACCGGTTGCTCACGGCGATCCACACCGTTACCATTGTCAATGTCCCCACTCTGTCAGAACGCGTTGGTTTCGTGCCGCCGGACGACGGGCTGTCAACATCTGGGCTTGGTTTCTAACCGGCTCATGCCACTTCTCGGCAATTATACCATGTTACTACTCCCTTGTTATTTGAACGTGGAAAGTTATGTTCACATGAAACAGGTTAGAGAGAACACACCAGGACTGTGTTCGTGCGTCCCACTCTTCTTTGCTGTTCCAAATGCAGGGGGTAACGCCGTCCACGCGGGTGGTTCTATGATGTTTTCCCGGAACGGCGTGCGCGACAGACGTCAAATTGCTTTCGGAGGCAGGTGACCAAACGCTGATAATGAGTGGAAACGCTACATATTATCATTGGTTTCCCACATGCTAGGATGCGATTATTTCGTGTTCTCTCTGGGTGAATGTGATTGTGCGCAATTTTTCTTTCATTGCAGAAGGCATAGCAAGCATGACTGTGTGACGCCACACTTAGGGCACCTATGGGCAACGACAATCGGCTTTAGTTCTCGTTTCGATCCTGGAGCCGCTAAAAGGAGAATTGGGGGGGGGGGGGGCAAAAAATGCGTCCGACCACAAAACATTTGCCCCCAAAATTGTCGTCCAAGGTTTGCCAGGTCGGCTGCCAGGTGCTGCCAGCCGCTGCCAAGTTGGCTGCCAGGTCGACTGCCAGCTACTGCCGCTCGCTGCTAGGTCGGTGCCAGGTCGGCTGTTAGCCGTTGCCAGCCGCTGCCAGCCACTGGTAGCGGAAAAAGGTGGTCGCTCGAACACAGCTGTCAACAAAAGCGTGGCACGAAAGTGACTTGAACTCAAACTGCATAAAGCTACGACCGGTGATTATTATAACCTCCCAGAAATGTTACAGTTTGGGGTCGGGCCGTTCGAGACGGGCGCTGCCTCACTGTCCAAGGAGCCAGCCGTGGCGTTGTTAGCAATCATTCCTAGCCGGTGTGCGTTATATCAGCAGTCCTAGCTTCAACGCAAATTGAGTACCTGCTTATGAAAAACGCCGCACTCTCCCGTCACCCGGTTTTCTCAAAACAATTTCACAGCCAGCAGCTCGCACACATAAGATTATAATCGGGCACAGCACATCCTCCCCAGCGGCATTGCGTAATAAATTCACAAAGAGCCGTCGGCCCCGCCCGCCTCCTTTCCATCATCACAGCTGCGCGGTTGCTGTTCGCTGAGGCCATGCGTCGTCGGCGCGTGACAGACGCGGGTCGTGTCCCTCTCTGCGCCGCCGCTGGGTCCTGCCTGCGGGTCCTGCCCGCCGGAGCCGGCCGTCTAGGGCGGCCGTCTCGGCCCCAGTGCCACTTGGGCCGGCGGGCTGTCTCTGGATCTGCCCGCCGGAGCCGGGCCGTCTCGGGCGGCCGTCTCTGGCCCCTGCCCGCCGGAGCCGGCCGTCTTGGGCGGCCGTCTCTGGCCCCCTGCCCGCCGGAGCCGGCCGTCTCAGGCGGCAGTCTCTGGCGGCCGTCTCGGCCCGGAGCCGCCGGGGCCGGCGGGCTGTCTCTGGATCTGCCCGCCGGAGTCTGCCGTCTCGGGCGGTCGGTCTCGGGCGGCCGTCTCGCCCCGGCGCCGATCAATACGCGGCGGAGCGTCCGCTCCGGACTCCGGCAGAAGACACTCCCTTCTGACAGCGCCGGCCGCCGGCCGCCGGCGGAGGCCTGTCGGCGTGGGGTGGCGGCCAGAGCCATTCAGAGGCAACCTCTGCGCGCTAGGCAGCGTCTGCCGTGAAATGGCGGCATTTGAATAACATTGCGTGGAAAGAGAACGCGAGACCAGTGCATGCTTTGAAGGGCCAATTATCATCTAACTTCGGCCACAAAGTGAAATGATGAGGCTGTGGAAGCGAAAAACCATGCCCTCGGCATGTTAAACATATCTGAATGACGGCGTAATAATGGTGTATTGTTTCGCAGGTACCATTATTTCCAGTCACACGACTTCGACGGCAACAAGGCTCTGGATGGCCTAGAGATGCTCAAGGCCCGTCCTCCACGCGCCACTGAAGGTACTTACTAAAGTCACATGTATGGCTCTTTGGAACGCTGAACATGACACTGCAAGGTACATTTAAACCCTTCAGGCTCAGTCGACGTGAATGTGTGGGTGCCCTACTTCGTGCTCCTGCTCATTACGGAACCCATCTTAATGACATTGCTGGGGTTTGGTGAGTTTTACACATGCCGCTTATGTCTTCTAGTCTGTATCGTGAAGACTACATCCATCGCCGGTCGAGTCTATGAGTTATGTATATATATATATATATATATATATATATATATATATATATATATATATTGAAATGTACATTTTGTGTCAATATGGCTTCTTTCTAGCACACAACTGGCAAGAGACACAGACTGCAGGCCACAAGCCAACCAAAATAAGTAATGCATCAGAATGCCGTAACTGCAAGCCCGCACACGCGTGCGGTCGCTGACTGTGCATTTTTGTGTTCCAGACAGCCGAGTCAGAATCTGATCCGTCCGAGGCGACCTCGACAGAGGGTCACAAGGACGGTGGCGCAGACCCGATGGAGTCAGCACAGTTCTTCGTAGGTATGGCTCACTCAATACGATGCCAAGAGGGCACCATCTATCAAATTTTGCGATGAGTTACGTCGCGCAAAATACGTGTTGCGGAAAATATTCGCCTGTTTCACGTGGAACGCACAAAGTTTGCGCACCTTTCGCCGGGGGAGTTGGGTGTTTGTGACTAACTGTGTGCGTTGTTGACTTATAAGCGGCGGTAGTGGCCGCGGGTGACGTTCTGGAGGCTGTGGGCGGGCAGCTGACGGCGGGAGTGCCCACGGGTGGCGCTCTGGAGGCTGTGGGCGGGCAGCTGACGGCGAGAGTGGCCGCGGGTGGCGCTCTGGAGGCTGTGGGCGGGCAGCTGACGGCGAGAGTGGCCGCGGGTGGCGCTCTGGAGGCTGTGGGCGGGCAGCTGACGGCGGGAGTGGCCGCGGGTGGCGCTCTGGAGGCTGTGGGCGGATAGCTGACGACGGGAGTGGCCGCGGGTGGCGCTTTGGAGGCTGTGGGCGGACAGCTGACGGCGGGAGTGGCCGCGGGTGGCGCTCTGGAGGCTGTGGGCGGGCAGCTGACGGCGGGAGTGGCCGCGGGTGGCGCTCTGGAGGCTGTGGGCGGGCAGCTGACGGCGGGAGTGCCCACGGGTGGCGCTCTGGAGGCTGTGGGAGGACAGCTGACGGCGGAAGTGGCCGCGGGTGGCGCTCTGGAGGCTGTGCCGGACAGCTGACGGCGGGGTGGCCGCGGGTGGCGCTCTGGAGGCTGTGGGCGGGCAGCTGACGGCGGGAGTGGCCGCGGGTGGCGCTCTGGAGGCTATTGCCGGCGGCTGACGGCGGGAGTGGCCGCGGGTGGCGCTCTGGAGGCGTGGGTGGCGGAGCTGACGGCGGGGAGTGGCCGCGGGTGCGCTCTGGAGGCTGTTTGCCGGACGGCTGACGGCGGGAGTGGCCGCGGGTGGCGCTCTGGAGGCTGTGGGAGGACAGCTGACGGCGGAAGTGGCCGCGTGGTCGCTCTCTGGAGCCGTGGGCGGGCAGCTGACGGCGGGAGTGGTCGCGGTTGGCACTCTGGAGGCTGTGGCCGGACGGCTGACGCCCTGTTTCAGACGTCATTGACCGGGTTCTGAGTGAAGACGACGGGAACAAGGACGGCTTGCTCAGCTACGCCGAGTTCGTGCTGGCGAACGAGCGGGCTTCGGACCGGATGCGGGAACGAGAACTGGGTCAATAGCTGGACAGCGAACGGCAGCAGGAGGAACAGCAGGGAGACGATTACACCAGCACCCAGCAACACACCAGTGATAAGACGGCTGTGAATTTCCGGACGGCCGGCCAGTTTTATCCGGTTTTGGCAGCATTGCACTGAATGGTCGGCATCAGTGGTTTTCTTCTCATGTACATTCTCACGTCGTTAGGATAAAAACGAGAAAGCAGGGCATGTGTCAACGATGTTACATTCTTGTAAGTTGAATCATTCCATTTCATCTTCGTGCCATGCCTTGTCTCATCTAGTGATACCTGGCATCTTGAGCTGATAATTGCTGATAATTGCCCAGTGTACACCTTCTCCGTCGTTGTTCTTCCATCGGTACGTGCCTTACAATGACGCAAAATACATGCAATATGGCAGCGCAGTTTCTTGGCTTAGTAGCCTGTTTTCAGGTGGCGTGGGTCGATGTATAATTGCGCTTGTTCAGGTGGACTGACAATCAGCTGGCTTCACGCCAATCATCCCCAACCGGTGCAGCTCACCCCCAGAGGTGACCACTCGCACCAGGCCCTGCTGACCTCACAGCACCTGTTCCTGCGGGACGTGGCCGATACCGTCCCCCCCCCCCCCTCGCCGGTGCGTGGGCGGGGGCAGCGGCCCGGCCGGCACGTGGGCCGCCCCGCCACGTGACGCGCGCCGGTGACAGTCGCGGCTGACGTGGCGCCGTCAGCCATCGCCCGTCATGTCAGCCCGGCGGCCGGCGGCCCGACAGTCACTCCACGGCGCCATGCGGACGGCCGGCTGCTGGCGGCGCTGCTGGCGCTACCTGCGCGCGGGCCAACGACGACTGACTAGGAGGAGGAGCACCACAGCGAGCACACAACAGCCACATCGACCTGGACCACGAGGTCACCGATGACTTCTTCCAGCGGTCGGCAACGACGAAGAGTGAGTGCCGCGTGCGACGGGCTGAAACTGTCTGGAGCTAGAGGGCAGTGGGTAATGATTCGGTGACAGATGGTCTGGGGACATGAGGATTTGAGCGTTGATGTCGGGTGATAGATGGTCTGGGACAAGAGGACAGTGGGCGTTGATGTCGGGTGATAGATCGTCTGGGGACAGAGGACAGTGGGCGCTGATGTCGGGTTTAGTCCGGGGACCAAGGGCAGTGGCTGGTGATGTTGGGTGACAGATGGTGAGGAGCTCGGCAGATGAGAGAAAGGTGGCTGACTGACGGCACTCTGGTGATGAGGGGTGGAGAAGGGGGAGGGGGCATGCGACGCCGAGTGATGGTAAGGCGATAGCTTCGGTGGGAGGAGGAGGGGCCTCGCCGGCACTGCGCTATCCTTGATGCGTTATTCTTGCCTAGTCGTTAGCCGCATGCTCAGTGGGTGCTGTGCGACATTGCACACTTGATGGCCGTGTAAGACATCACGCGCACGCGCATGCGCAAACCGCTGGAAGTCGTCTTCATAGTAAACA